AGATTAATACAGTGTACCTGTAAGGTTGTTTCCCAGTGAGATTAGCATGTGAGTTGGTGGGCTAAGTAAAGCAGACTCCTCTCCCTAATGTAGGTGGGCATCACCCAGTCTGTTGAAGTCTTGAACAGAACACAAAAGCAGAGGAAGGGAGAATTTGCTCTCTCTCTCTCTCTCTCTCTCTCTCTGGCTGACTGTGCTGGGCCATTGGTCCTCTGCTCTTTGGGACTTACCATGTTTCTCAGGCCTTTAGACTCAGAGTGAAACTATCTCATCTGCTCTCCTGGGTCTCTGGCTTGCAAAAGGCAGATTGTGAGGCTTCTCAGCCACCATAATCACATGAGACAATTCCTTATAAATAAATATCCAATTGGTTCTATTTCTCTGGAAAACAAAAGAGCACAACTGGCAATTGGATTTATTACTGAATTCACTTGATTATATACCTCACTTTCAAGAACTCTCTATAAATAGTAATAAACAGTTTTTGAAAGTGAAGCAATTAAATTTAAACATATATAAACTCAAAGATTTCAATCAGCCTAAAACCTCCTTCAGCTGATAAACAACTTCAGCAAAGTTTCAGGATACAAAATCAATGTACATAAAAATCACTAGCATTTCTATGTGCAAACGACGGCCAAGCCAAGAGTCAAATCAGAAAGGCAATCCCACTCACAATTGCCATAAAAAGAATAAAATACCTAGGAATACAGCTAACCAGGGAGCTAAAAGATCTCTACAGTGAGAATTACAAAACACGGCCGGGTGCGGTGGCTCAAGCCTGTAATCCCAGCACTTTGGGAGGCCGAGATGGGTGGATCACGAGGTCAGGAGATCAAGACCATCCTGGCTAACACGGTGAAACCCTGTCTCTACTAAAAAATACAAAAAACTAGCCGGGTGAGTTGGCGGGCCCCTGTAATCCCAGCTACTCGGGAGGCTGAGGCAGAATGGCGTAAACCGGGGAGGCGGAGCTTGCAGTGAGCTGAGATCCAGCCACTGCACTCCAGCCCGGGCGACAGAGTGAGATTCCGTCTCAAAAAAAAAAACAAAACAAAAACACTACTCAAAGAAATCAGAGAAGACACTAACAAATGGAAAAACATCCCATGCTCATGGATAGGAAGAATCAAAAGCATTAAAATGGCCCTACTGCCCAAAGCTATTTACAGATTCAATGCTATTCCTATCAAACTACCAACAATATTCTTCACAGAACTAGAAGAAAACTATCTTAAAATTCATACGGAACCAAAAAAGAGCCTGAGTAGCCAAGGCAATCTGAAGCAAAAAGAACAAAGCTGGAGGCGTTGAGTTACCCAACTTCAAACTATACTACAGGGCTACAGTAACCTAAACAGCATGATGCTGGTACAAAAACAGGAACATAGACCAATGGAACAGAATGGAGCCCAGAAATAAGGCTGTACACCTACAACTATGTGAATCTTTGCCAAAGCTGACAAAAACAAGCAATAAGGAAAAGACTCCTTATTCAATAAATGGTGCTGAGATAACTGGCTAGCCGCATGCCGAATATTAAAACTGGACCCCTTCCTTATACCATATACAAAAATTAACTCAAGATGGATTAAAGACTTAAATGTAAAGCCAGAAACTATAAAAACACTGGAGGACAACCTAGGCAATCAATACCATTTGGGACATAGGAACTGGCAAAGATTTCATGACAAAGACACCAAAAGCAATCACAACAAAAGGAAAAATTGACAATGGGATCTAATTAAACTTAAGAACTTCTGCACAGCAAAAGAAATTATCAACAGAGTAAACAAAACCTACAGAATGGGAGAAAATATTTGCAAAATATGCATCAGACAGAAGTCTAATATCCAGCATCTATAAGGAACTTAAACAAATTTACAAGAGAAAAACAAACAACCCTATTAAAAAGTGGGCAAAGGACATGAACAGAAACTTCTCAAAAGAAGACATACATGTGGCCAATAAGCATATGAAAAAAAGCTCAACATCACTGATCATGAGAGAAATGCAAATCAAATCCACAATGAGATACCATCTCATACCAGTCAGAATGGCTATTAATAAAATATAAAAAATAACAGATGTTGGCAAGGTTGCAAATAACAGGGAACACTTATAAACATTGTTGGTGGGAATGTAAATTAGTTCAACCATTGTGGAAGACAGTGTGGCAATTTCTCAAAGACCTAGAGACAGAAATGCCATTTGACTCAGCAATCCCATTACTGGGTATATACCCAAAGGAATATAAATTGTTCTATTATAAAGACACATGCACATTTATGTTCATAGCAGCACTATTCACAATAGCAAAGACATGGCATCAACGTAAATGCCCATCAATGACAAATTGGATAAAGAAAATGTGGTATACATACACCGTGGAATACTATGCAGCCATAAAAAAATGAGATCATGTTTTTCATGGGAACATGGATGGAGCTGGAGGCTGTTATTATTAGCGAACTAATTTAGGAACAGAAAATCAAATACAGCATGTTCTTATAAGTGGGAGCTAGATCATGAGAACTATGAACACAAAGAAGGAAACAACAGACAATGGGTTCTACTTGAAGGTGGGGGGGTGGGAGTAGAGAGAGAACCAATAACTATTGGGTACTGGGGCTTAATACCTGGGTGATGAAATAATTTGTACAACAAACCCCCATGACATGAGTTTACCTCTGTAACAAACCTTCACATGTACTCCTGAACCTAAAATAAAGTTTGTTTTTTTTTTAAAAAAAAATCATACACAATAAAGAATTTTGACATGAAAAGAACCTTAAAAAATAAAAATACATAAAATATTACAAAATTATATAGGGAATGACACAGAGATGACTCAGAGAGAAATAATTAGCTTTGATAACTTGAAAAACAAAAATACATTAACAAAATTTCTGTGCGAAAAAAATGGACTTAATGAAATGTTAGCAGAGCAACAATAGAAGGGGGTTACTGCTGGATGCTAGTATTTTTAACAGAAAAAGTGAAGGTGGTGGTGACTTTTAGCAGATCAGCATTTACCTGTTGACCAGTGACTTAGGTGTTGCTTTTTGTTCTGTTGTGAACCAGCCACATGACTGGAGGAGTTAACTTTCTTCCTCTGCGGGAAAGATTGCATGGTCAACCTGAAAAAATTACTAAATAAAAATTACCTAGACACTTGCTGAAAATGCAGACGCTCTGGCTCTGGCCCAGAGATTCAGGTTCAGCAGATTCAGGGCGGTGCCTGGGAATCTGCCTTTTATCGTCTTCAAGGCTGAATCTGATGAGAAGACAAGTTTGGAAAAAACAGTAAAAGATGGTTGCAGATATTGTAAAATGTTTTGCTAGCTAGCAGGGAATGTCAATACAGATAGCTTTAAGCAGGAAAAAAAAATTGTAAAACATTGTGTTTTTTAGTTTTTTTCAAGTAATATAAGGTTATAAGGGGAAAAATACCAAAATGAACAATAATTCTCCTGACTAAATAATGAACCAAACTCTTTCCCCAAAGCAACCATTATTAAGTTGCTTGTGATTCCTTCCAGAACCGCAAGACTATGTCTACATAATATTCTAATATACTACAGTATATAAAGAATAATATACATAAATATACATAAATATACCTGGTCTTTATGTACCTATTTGTGATAAAAGGAAATATACTAGGCTATTCCATACCTCTTGTCGCTTCAAAAATTTTCTAGTCAATTGTTATATGCCAGCACACACAGAACTACGTCCTTTCTTTACACAGCTGCATAGCTGGTTTTCTGCTGTGTGTGAACCACAGTAATCACTGTTGATGGGCACTTCAGTGGCCTTCAATTTTCTGCCATTACAAAAATACACTGCAATGAGCATCCTTTCTCAGATGCCTTAGTGAACTTTTGCAAGAATGTCCATGGGGTTACTTCTTAGCAGCCGGGTTTACAAAGGATATGTGCATTTACAAATTTGATGAATATTACCAAATTCCCTGCAGAGAGATTGCACTTAACTATAATCTCACTATTGGCATATGAGAGTGCTCATTCTCTATGGCCTCACCAACACTGAGTTTCATCAAATTTTTTTTTTTTTTTTTTTTTTTTTTGAGATGGAATCTCGCTGTGTCACCCAGGCTGGAGTGCAGTGGCGCGATTTCGGTTCACTGCAAGCTCCGCCTGCTGGGTTCACGCCATTCTGCTGCCTCAGCCTCCCGAGTAGCTGGGACTACAGGTGCCCACCACCATGCCCAACTAATTTTTTGCTATTTTTAGTAGAAATGGGATTTCACCGTGTTAGCCAGGATGACCTCGATCTCCTGACCTCGTGATCTGCCCGCCTTGGCCTCCCAAAGTGCTGGGATTACAGGCGTGAGCCACTGTGCCTAGCCTCAAATCTTAGTATTTTATTCTGTAGTCAAGCAAAAACTCATGTTTTCTTTTTAAACAAATACTTTTCAGTTTGACACTGCTTTTGATTTAAAGGGCTTGAGAGATCTGTTCTTTTACCCCTTCCACTACAGAACTATGATCTATTTCTTGCTGTTCTCCATCTCTGCTGGTTCCTTTCTGAATCCAAGCATCAGAGAGAGTAAGAATTCCTTTTCCCCTAACCACATTTTTCTTGCTTTCTCACAGACAGATCTAGGTTATCGTGTCCTCCTGCTGCTTTCACATGGTTCCCTGTCCTGTTGGTTGCAGGTCCAATGTCTGACACCATGAAAGGACGTGGAGGACTCTTGAGTTGATGACACTAAGCTTCTGCTCTGGGGCCGCCCCCAGTTCCTTGCAGAGCTTTCTTTTGATTGGACCAGGAGATAAAGATACATCAGTGTAAAAGCCCCGCTGAGCAGCAATCCCATTGCCTTCAGTGGCACCTAATCCACTTGAGCTCTTCCTGGCTCTCTCACGGGTCACTGGCTTTGAGGACGCAGGCTGCTGGGGTGGCGGTGCCTGCTAACAGGCCAGAGACTGCGCAGAACCCAGGGAACGAGAGTGGTGGCAGGAAAGGGAAGGGGCCTTGTTGACTCACTCACTGGGCAGCAAGTGCTTAGTGACAAGCAGTAAACAAAGGCAGCGGCAACAGTGCTGGTGGCAGGGAGCTCCGCGGACAGACTTGCAAGAGACCCCTGCTCCTTGTTGGAAAGTTATCCCATGATGAAGGCCTAGACCCGGTCACGGAGACTTTTGGATGCAGCCTTTAACGAAGGACGCAGGTATTCCTTGGTGTCATTCAGTTTTCTCCTATAAATCTGGGTCAGGGAAAGGGCAAACTTCTTACTGGGTCTAGGTATCCGGAATAAGAACACAGCTGGGCAAGGACCTGTGTCAGTGCCCTTTGTGCTATTATTTGGAGTATTATCTGTTCCAGGTCATTGGCTAAGCCTGATAGACCTTGTATTTCTGTTTTAGCAATAAAGAATGGGCTCAGACTAGAAAACATGGACTTTAGAATCAGAACAACCCCTGTTTGAATCACTGCTTTGCTATTCAGCATCTGTGCAAATTCAAATGACTCTTTTAACTTTCCTAAGACTCATTTTTCTCACCTGTAAAATGGGGATATAATGCCCCATGTGTTACGATGTTGTTGAGGATTCATGGGGTGACACATGTAAGGCACTTAGAACATACTTGGAGCATCCGAGTAGCCCAGTAAATGATGGCTGTCACTATCTTTCAGAAGCAAGTGTTTTGTTATTGCTTAAAGAGTATCAGTGGTTTAAAGTAAGAAGTCTCAGGCTATGTCTAGCTGACTTCCAGAAAACAATGGAAAAGAAATGATTCACCTGGCTTTATTTGTATGCTTAAAGGAAAGAAAAAACTCAGTTGAGGTTTTCAACAGTTTATCAACTTTTTTTTTTTTTTTTTTTAAAGCAACAGTTGAGTTCAAAGATGAGTCATGCCTATTTCTCCTGGCTAAATCCTGTGATTTGCTATAGGCTGTAGCTAAAACCAATTAAGTAGTTTATTAATTCAGCAAGAACTTACTTGGTATCTCCTGGGGCCAAGCCACATGCTAGATGCTGGGGATTCTCCCCCAGCCCAGAGGATCTTCCAGATCCTAGGAGAGTGGGAGTTAGGGGGCAGAATGTTGGACCTGCATGAAACCTGGCAGTGATAGCAAGTGCCAAAATGGAGGTGGCATGGTCTCCTGGGAGAGGTGATGCTTGAGCATGGCTTTAATGCTAAGTGGACACTAGCAGGAGGTGGGAGCAGGGAGAGTGGGAAAGGCATCTCAAGCAGAGAAAAGCACATGCAAAGGCCCAATGGCATGAATAAGTAAAGCATACTCTGGGAACAGCAGGCAGTTTGGCCTAACTTTAGTAAAATGGGAACAGGGGAGTCTGATAAGAAAGGAGGCTGCAGAGGTGAACAGGGGAGAACAAGGAAGGCCTTCTATGGCCCAGAGTTCACTCAGAAGGTCCCAGATAGACACTGGTAGTTTTAATGAAGAATGTGTCGTGACTGCATTTAATATTAAGAAGATTAATCTAGTAGCAATATGGGTGTGGGATTGGAGAGGATGAAACCTGGAATGATGACAGATGGCCTAACCTAAGAAAACAACAGTGGGATGTAGAGAAGAGGAGGCCTCCAAGCTGGTGCTGCCAGCTCTGTGAACAAAAACAAATAAATATGCATCTAATAAGTTCATTATAAATTTTACTGATATGAAGGATGTATATTGTACAATTTACAAATAATAAAATATAAAATACTCTTTATTACAAATTCTGTATAGCCATTTGATTCTCACAGCATGCATTCGTTGATTTTTGCTGAACTCTTATACTGTTGGTCAGCCTGTTTGCAACTGACCACTGAATGTAGTTCCAATATGAACGCTGGGTGATATTTTTGTTCACATTGACAAGTAAGAAGAAAGTGAAACAATGAAGATGATTGTCTTAACTTCACTCATCTGTAATGACATGAGTGACTGCTGGATCAGATGACAGTTTTTGAGTTTGGAAGAGTATTTTCCCAATTTTTGTGTTATTCAGAATGTAACAAATATGGGCATGGCACACTTTTAGGTTTAATCTGCATGAACATTTTCTCCATCACTTTCTTAGTTTTCTTAGGGAATGAAAAAACAGCAAACCAAGCCCTAATTTGTAGCTTTTGACAATTTCTGTGGTATAAATACTACCACCATGGCCAATCACAAGCTCCCAATGTGATATCGCTAAACACAAAGGTGGAAGAGCTGTGCACCAGCACACCATTACATAGTGTTTCCAAAATAGAAATATATTTCATTTAAATAAGTTCCAAAGCACAGACAACAGTAAAATGCAGAAAAATAATTTGTAATAGTGAGTTTCAACATATTGTTAATATAACTTATTTAATTGGAGATTTTTATAACACTTTTTGGTAATGGCTGTGTTTAACAGCCAGCTTACAAAATTTCTGGAAATTTAATAATTGGCTCTCACAGGTCAGTAGGAGGCTTCTTCAGCATGTCACAGGATCCAAGAGAGGTTTAAGGAGCAAAATACAGAGTGGTGAAAAAAATGACTCATGGGCACAAATGAAGGGAGCACGAAAGGAGGAATTAGGAAGAGTACTTCTTTCTCTCTAGGGATGAAGCTGTCACTCACCAAAATGTTGGACTCGTTGAAAAGAACACGAGTTGAAAAGATGGCTATGAATTCAACTGCTAAGGAGTAGCAAGGGCTGGGATGTGCAGCCCAGGACAATGCTACCTGCAGCTCCATCAGTGAAGTCATTTCTGATCTGAAACCCTCGTTTTCCTGGCTTGTCTCTAGCTTATTACCTGCCCTCTCCATATATTCAGCATTCATAACATGAAAAGCTAGGATTTATTGAGAAACTGCCATGTACCAGACACAATAACTCATAGTATAAACGAGTAAAGAGAGGAAGTAACTTGCCCACGGTGAGGTGGGATCAATCCAGCTCTGACCTCGGAGCCTGCTCTTCCAGCCACTCTGCTTTTCTATTCCCATTCCCCTTCTGAGTTGTATTCGCCCTGAGATGTCAGTGTTTTTAGCGCTTTCCTGGCAGAGGTCTGCTTTCGAGGCTGATTCCTGTTCCTCAGGCTTCTTTTCACCCTTGGTCACTGGCAGTTCTATTGTTAACTGCCCTCTCTTTTTTTTTTCTTGCCTTGGCTGTAAGCCTCCTTTATTCCTGTATTTCCTTAAGCTATCATAGCCCAACATTGTTGGAAATAGAGTACGTAATGAAGGGAGGCAGGAAGGAGATATGTAGGATGGTGCACAGGAACCGGTTCCAGGAGGGCTGGTGCCAGGCAGGAGGCAGATCAAGGCTGAGCTGTCAGAACTCACTCTTCCATAGATTCAAGATGGGTTAAACAGTGTCTGGCTAGACAGTAAATGTATTAGACAGTTTTAAAAAGTGCCATCTAGGAATTTCCTTTGCTTCTTCTGTCAGTATCATTTTTTTTGTGATGCCAGTTCACAGAGTGCAGGCAGCATCTGAAGTATTTACCCGTTAAATTACTGAGTCATTCAGCCAGTGGGGGAAGAAGGAGCTCCAGATGTGAGTGTCCCCACAGAGCCTGCAGAAGGACAGGAGGCAAGGAGGGTGTGGTGCATCTGAGGCTGGAAAAAGGCCATGGGGGCAAGAGGAAGCTGCTGGAGATCAGTCCAAAGAGGTGGGCCTGAGGTCCTGTAAACCTTGCTCAGGATCTGAGCTGATCCTTTGGAGAACAGAAAGTGGCTGAAGGTTTTCACGAGGTATGACGTGGTCAGATTTGTGTTTTAGGAAGAGGACTCTGCAAGACAGAGAATGGATCAGGGCAGGGGCAAAGTATGGTTGTAGGAAACCATTTTGTAGGATTTCCATTTCAGTGGTCATTCAGGGGAGGGTGCTGGTGGCTTAGACCAGGTCAGTGGTGGTGGAGTTGGAGAGAAACAGGCGGATTTTGGAGAGATTTTGGAGATGGTGATTAAAGGAATGGGGAGTTGAGGGATGGGAAGGAGACAATAATGTTGTCTGAAGGTTTGGCTTGAGGGGTTAGGTGGTGGAAACGCTGTTTGCTGTATTCAAATAAGAGAGGTTGAAAGAGGAGGAGGTAAGGGGAAGGTGAATTCAGTTCTGTGCATCCAAGGGGGTTATCTAAAGGACATCCTGGGACCACAAAGCAGGAGCTCAAGAAACAGGTCTGAGCTTAAGACATGGCTGTGGAGGGGATGGACTGATGGTTGGTAACTTTGGAGCACGTAGAGTGATTTGAAGAGGGGGCCAGGGCAGGGAGAAACCCAAGGACCACTGACATTTGGCATTGCCTTTATTCATTGTTACAAATAATACCATGGCAAATATCTTTGAATATACATCTTTGTCAATTATGTTCTTGGCATCAATACCCAGAAGAGGAAGACCCTGATGGCGGGAATGGACATCCCTTGGTTCTTGATACAGATTGCCAACCTGCTTTACAAATCAGCTGTCCCACATTGGCCACACATAAGTAAGGTCTCTGAGAGGGATGGTTTCATTGCCACCTCATGGGCACTGAGCGCTCATCATCGAAGCCCGCTTGAGGGATGAAAATGGGCCCTGTGACTGCGTCCACTGGCAGCTCCTTGGATTATAGGCAGGAGTGGACAGTTTTCCATATTGTTTAATAAGGAACCACAGATTCTTTTATGACTTTTCTTAGTCTCACTTTCTCAATTATCTACTGCTGTTGGGCCCATAAGATTTTTCTGTTTCTTTGCACAGAAATAGTCACTTTCGGTTTGACCTTCATCCCTTATCCCAGCTGGCTGTATAGCTCTTTGTAGATATCACTGTGGGAAGCAGCTTCCTGACTCAGGGCCTGAGGAGGGCTTTGTGGTAAATAAAGCCCAGGAGAAGAGCTTGAGACTGGAGTCCTCTCCCTGAAACCACTCAGAGCGGGATTCTGGGCAATGCCTTCACCCTCCCACCTTGGCTGTCTCCCATTTCCCATCTGTGCTATAGCAGGTCTCCCGGATCCGTCAAGTGTGAGTTAAGGACCCCCTCTTCACTAACCACTATTTTAAATGATCTGCCCTGGATGGATTAATTTGACTGAATGAAGCTGCTTCATTTCTAGAGGAAAATTTTTAAACAAAGCATGCACCTAGTGGGATTTGTGACAGGGCAAGCCACTTCTCAACCTGCATTAGGCTGGGAACCCACGGACAGCCTGGCCCTGCCAGAGTCCGTCAGCCAGAGGTTTATCCCTCAATCATCG